AAATGCCAATGGACCCCATCGCCCTTAAATATTTAAGACAAACAATTAATTTCCCAAACACTTGTATGAGTTTATAAGCCCATATATATTTCCATTATGCCCTTAGTTTAGAGGAAACTTAACTCTTTTCCCAAAAGAGTCGAAAAAAAGCGCTTTGAACTGCGGTCTCCCTTTAACTATAAGTAGTTTTTCCAACCAATTCTTGTCTTATATATTTGAGTTGAAAGAATTCAAAATAACTTCTCAATTATTAGCAGAAAAAGGGTAAAATAATAATAGCAAATTATATCCAGCTAGCCAGCAGGCCACTGGCTTGTGGAGAAAAAAAAAAAAGGTTGCTAATTATAACTGCAATGAGTACTATTTGTACTTGGCCAACCCCCTATCAAATAAAAAGTTTTAAACCTCGTTCACTTCGCTGATTCGAATTTAAAATTCGAATTGAGATGTGATTTTATGTGAGAGTTTTTTACTGTAGTAAAAAAGTTAGATGTGATTGTTTGTGAAAGCTTTTTACTGTATAGGTGAATTGAGTTATGAAGAATACGTCATCTGGTTATAGTCAGCAGCTTATATGTCCTAATTAGTTTCAATATTTCTTAAGACAATAATACCAGAGAGTTTATAATAATACAGTGGGTGCGTTTGGAATTGGTTCCAAAACGTTTTTATTTTCTGTACGAAAATGAAAATGAAAACGTTTTTAGTTTCATTTTTGAATTATTTCTAAAAATGCGTTTAGTAGTTTTATTTAGAGATTGATTTCAGTTTTAAAAAAAACTGAAACTGCGTTTGGTGGTTTAATTTTTGAAAACATGTAATAATATATTAAATAAATAATATTATTAAATATATTAAATAATAATATATTAAATAAATATATTAAATAAACATATATAATACAAAAAAGGTTTCAGAAAAGAGAGAAGAAAATGAAAAAGAAAAAAAAAAGTGAAATCCGTTTTTCAGAAAACAGAAAACGAAAACAAGAAAATGAAAACACCTTTTTTTCGTTTTCTAATTTCCACAAAAAGACAAAAACGTTTTTGGTTTTGTTTTTTAAAAAAAATTACACCAAACACGTTTTTAACACCCGTTTTCATTTTTTTGCTTTAAAAACCGTGAAAAACGAAAACGA